ACTGAAACCGAGATTCAGTCAACTCCTAGAAACAGTTAGTCTTTGCTGATTTTCAAACAAACTTCAAAGATCCAAATGAACTCCAAACTTAATGAGACTTGCTTCATTGTTTCTAGCACAAAGTGTACTTCAACTCATATTAAGGAATCTAGTTGAGTTGTCACGCAAATTTAGAAGATAAAAATTCACAAACATGTCAACTCGCTGTTGTCAATCAGGGACTTCGAAATATTTCTGAGGCCAAAACAGCACTGCATCCAAACTTGAGGCCACTGTTTGAGCCACTTAGGAGTTGAATCAGGGCTTGGTCCAAAAATAAAGATTGTTGTACTCCACTCAAGCTTCAACTTTTATTTAAGGTCCAACTCCATGCAAGCACTCCAGACAGTTGGTCAACACAGGTCAAAACCATATCATGAAAAGGACAATTTTAGCCATTCCCACACTTAGAAGCATTTTCTTGACATTTGCTCAACACAAACCCTTCATGATTTTTGCTCATGAGTTTAATTAGAGTTGTTTGAGCAAGGTTGCAAGGTTTGGTCGATATCCCATGTTTCCATTTGCTAAATGAAGCAAATTAAACAAAAATGTAACTTATCATTTCATGTGACTTTTTGGCTCCAAACTTCATGAAACTTTTCTAATAGTCATTGCAGATGGAAATGGATGTGAGGCACATGAAAAGGGGCACCTTCCACATTACTCAAGCATACCTCTGAAAAGGGTCAACATAGAAGCAAGGTGTGCTGTCCAAGTTTAAGTTGGGGCTCATTCTTAGAGAGTTGATTCCAACACCTTTGTCACCACTTATAAGTTTGAACTAGAGCTCTTGATTACCACTAAACTTGTCATGTTGGAGCTCAAACCCATTGCTTAATTGGTGACAAACACCTAGGGTGTTACAGCTAAGAGCAATGTCATTGTTTTGGAGTAGCACTTCTTCGGCGGCGGTGGGAGCCTCTTCATCGGCAATCTCAATATTGGTCTCCACCACCTTCCACACCTTTCTATTGATTGACTTGATGAATGTTGTCATCTTAGCCTTTCAATAAGGATAATTGGATCCATCAAATTAGGGTGGCTTCTTGGTGTTATTGATTTGAGCCATATTGACACCGAAGGTTGTTAAGTCTCAAATCACGGTGACCACGGCTCCTGATACAACTTGAAAGGTCCTAATGGCTAGAAGGGGGTGAATAGCCTATAAAAATTTCTACAACAACACTTAACAAACCGGTTAAACCAATATGACATAAAGCGAATGTTGCGCTAGCCTACTAAAAATATAAGCCATCTACCACAATTCTAGTATCTATAGTATCTATCCACACAAAGGCTATGTCACTACACTAAGTCAGTGAGCTCTCAAAGACTAACTAAAGAGCCTTACTAACTACTAGACTCGACACAAGCTTCTCAAAACTAATTACACTAAAGAGCGAAGCAACACTAAAAATGTAAATGCAAGGTAGGGGATGTGATGATTATACCGCCGTGTCAAGGATAGAGCCAATCACAATATGATGGAGTCAATCAATCACAACCAAGATAACCAATGAAATCCTCGGACAATGATGAGACAAGATTTTTTACTGAGGTTCACTTGCTTGCCGACAAGCTAGTCCTTGTTGTGGTGATTCACTCACTTAGAGGTTTACACACTAATTGACATCACACGCCAAACCCGCAACCAGGTGCCGTACAACCAACACAAGATGAGGATCACATAAGCCATGAGCAATCCACTAGAGTACCTTTTAGCTCTTCGCCGGGGAAAGGTCAAGAACCCCTCACAATCACCACGATCGGAGCCGAAGACAAGCACCTTCCTCCGCTCGACGATCCTCGCTGCTCCAAGCCGTCTAGGTGGCGGCAACCATCAAGAGTAACAAGCGAATTCCACAGTGAAACACAAACACCAAGTGTCTCTAGATGCAATCACTCAAGCAATGTACTTGGATTCACTCCCAATCTCACAAAGATGATGAATTAATGATGGAGATGAGTGGAAGGACTTTGGCTAAGCTCATAAGGTTGCTATATTAATGCAAATGGCCAAGAGAGTGAGCTTGAGCCAACCATGGCGTTTAAATAGAGAGCCTCCACGAATAGAGCCATTGGGCTCCTCACTGCTGCCTGTCACACGTTGACGGACGCGCCGATCAAAATGATCGGACACACGCCTCTAACGTCTGGTCAACGGATCAGCGCCATGTGTCAACGCCTTCAAACATGAGCCGCACGATGCCAAATGGCTAGTAGCCGTTCCTGCGCGCTTTAAGTCACGACCGGACGTGCTCGCGATCTTCGTGACTCAGCAACGGCGTGTCAGGTCAGCACAACACCGCGCGCCTCAAACACTTGACCGGACACGCCGATCAACGCCAACACCCGCGTCAGGTCACTTCCAAAGAGGTTCTAGAGCCGAAATTCCACAACCTGACGCATCCGATCTCACATGACCGGACGCACCACCGCATCAGGTCCACACTGCCTCAGCTCAACGCTTATGTCAGCATACGTCATAGCCTGACTGGACGTAGGCCCTGCGCGTCCGGTCACAATGACTATGCAGTGTTCGGTCGTTGATCAGACCAAGCCCGAGCGTGCCACCAAGTTTATAAATGATCGAACGCTGCATCTCCGAGTCCGGTCACCATGTGACATGCGTTCGATCACTGTTTCACAGTGGAAAACACCTCATTCACTTCACCAACTTCTCCACCCTTGCTCAAATATGCCAACCACCAAGTGTATCACCTTGTGCATGTGTATTAGCATATTTTCACAAATATTTTCAAGGGTGTTAGCACTCCACTAGATCTAAATGCATATGCAATGAGTTAGAGCATCTAGTAGCACTTTGATAACCGCATTTCGATACGAGTTTCACCCCTCTTAATAGTACGGCTATCGATCCTAAATGTGATCACACTCGTTAAATGTCGATCACCAAACCAAAAAAACTCCTATCAAGTTACACCTTTGCCTTGAGCTTTTTGTTTCTCTTTCTTCTTTTTCAAGCTGAGCACTTGATCACCATGGTCATCAACATGATCTTCATTTGCTCCACCACTTGGAATTATGCTATCTATCTCATGATCACTAGAACAAATAGGTTAGCACATAGGGTTTCATCAATTTACCAAAACTAAACTAGAGCTTTCAACTATGGATGCCCTAAGATGTCTATGACACTATATTGCGATTTGCGAAGTCTCTATATATAATCTTTATAGGCAACTAAATTTGTAATGAACGACGAAGTGTCTATAAGCATTTAACTCCAATGCATAGTGACATTATGTTGTTCCATAAGCATTTACTATTTATTATAAGTAGTTAAATATAAATTTTATCATAGCAATTAACTGTGACCCACAAGACTTGATACAATAGGATAAAATAAAACCCTCTCTAGCCTTTAAATATTGGGTTCACTGTGTTTCAAAAGTTTTGGAAATATTTCCATCCAGATGAAACCTCTCTCCTTCCTCTCTTCGTAACTCTAATATTATATCATTATTTTTGTTTATATAGCATCTTATTAAATGAGATTAAAACTATGTCAGGGCTGATCTTAGACCTAACTGCCCTAAAATTTTCAAGATTCCACGTTTGGACCTGAAAAACACACATAATTCGAAGAAATGTTTCACGGGGCAACAGAACTGCACAAGTGTACACACGTCAGACGCGGCAAGCGTTGTAGCACCATTCAGGATTGGAAAAAGTCCACATTATCTCCCTCAACTTTCGTGAAAATCCGCTTTTCCTCTCTAAACTTCAAAACCGGGCAAAACACCTTTCTCAACTTTTAAAACCGTTCATCTTACCTCCCTGGCCCTGTTATAAGCAGTTTTGAAGACGGTTTTGTCTTTTTCTTTTTTATTTATTTCGGCTAAACCTTTGAAAAATCATAGTAAATCACAGAAAAATTATAAAATGGAAAATCCAATTTTGTTGGACTCCACATGAGTAGATCTACACAGTGAATATATAATATGGTATATTGTAGTACAAAGTTTTTTTTGGCTTTAGATCTATGCTTTTTTGTAATTAATTGGAATAATTTATATCTGTAGTTTCTATGGTTCAATTATGATGAAATTTTTATGGTGAGCTAATTATTGTATGATTGAACTTTAGTAAAATTTCATACCCATTGGATCATGTATAGCTTAGTTATAGATTTATTTATATTTAACAAGCATAAACCTAAATAAAATCTATAACTAAGTTATATATGATCCAATGAGTATGACATTTTTACTGTAGCTTAAGCATACAATAATTAGTCCACCATAAAAATTTCACCACAATTAGGCCATAGAAACTGTAGCTATGAATTATTCTATTTAATTACAGAAAAGCATTGATCTAAAGCTACAACAAAAACTTTATACTAAAGTATTCTATATTATATGTTCACTGTGTAAATCTACTAATGTGGAGTCCAACAAAATTTGATTTTCTATTTTATGATTTTTCTACGATTTGCTATGATTTTTCAAAGATTCAAAATAAATAAATAAAAAAAAAAAAATAAAACCGTTTCAAAACCGTTTATAACCAGTCCACGGAGGCAGGATGAATGGTTCTAAAAGTTGAAGATGGTGTTTTGTCCGGTTTTGGAGTTCAGGAAGAAAAAAATGAATTTTTGTAAAAGTTGAGTGAGGTAACGTAAACATTTTCCTTCAGTATTCAGCCAACTGGACCGGATTCAGCCGGCCCAGCAACCCACAGCTTAGATCATTTAACTATGACTTATTATAAACGATCATAAATTTCTAACCGAAATAATATTTTTCTCTCACACGAACCATCCAGCACTTCCTCGTAAACCAGGAACCGGCCAACCTAACATGCTGCCAATACGCCTCCCTGAACCCTCCCCTCTCGGCCTCTTGCCTCAATCGGCCCAAAACCCCCAATCCAAGCGTCCATTCCTGAATTCCTCCCCGGCCGGCAGCCGCCCCCCGCCCCCCGCCGCCGCCATGAACCCCGTTCACAGCGAGGCGGCCGCTGCTGAGAAGGCGCGGCGCAAGAAGGACAAGAGGGAGAAGAGGAAGAAGCACAAGGACGCCAAGGAGGACGACTGCGGCGCCGCGACGGCCGCGGAAGAAGCGCCGAAAGAGAAGAACCAGAAGCAGAGGAAGGATGGAGACGAGGGGGAGGGGGAGGAGAAGAAGAAGCTGAAGCCGACGGTGAGCATCGCCGTTGCTGGCTCCATCATCGACAACGCCCAGTCCCTCGAGCTCGCCACCCTCGTCCGTACCCCCTTTCCTCCTTGTCGCACTAGTCCTTGCTATGTCTTGCAGCACGAGGCCTTACAAGAGCATCTCTTCTGTTTCAGCTGGCCGGCCAGATCGCTCGCGCCGCCACCGTCTTCCGCATAGACGAGGTCGTCGTCTTTGACAGTACTCCCGCGACGGAGAACGGCGGCACGGGTGATGGTGAAGAGAGCGGCGCGCGGTTCCTTGTTCGGATTCTGGAGTATCTGGAAACTCCACAGTACCTCCGCCGCCGCCTCTTCCCGATGCACAAGAACCTGAAGTTTGTGGTGAGATGCCAAGCAATGTGGTTGCCTTCGACGTTTGATGATTTCTCTAGGTGCTAATGGTGCTGTGCAATTTCTGGTATGCAGGGATTGCTTCCACCGCTCGATGCACCACACCATGTGCGCAAGCACGAATGGTCTGAGTTTCGTGAAGGTGATATCCCTTCTCGTGCCCTTGCTATCAATTTTAAATTTTGAACTCACAATTTGAAGTAGGATTTCATTTCCATCAAAAAGGGTGCTTAAGTAGTTAAATATAAGTTTTACCATTTCTTGTGGTGCTAATCTAGGAATATTGTGTCTTCTCACAGTTCAAGCGCAACACATGCTGAACATCTGGAATGGAACACAAATGTGCACTTATAAATTAAAATATGGTCATTTAATGCTCTTTTGCTAATCAAGCTTGCACATCTTCCTTTTAAAGTTCAATTGTTACTCATTGCCTTTGCTCTCGCATTTGGAAGGTCTGGCCGAACTTGGTTAGTGTAGTATACAATACTGTGATGACAAAGGGGTGTTCGGCCGTAGGTTTTGGATTGCTACTGCTCGTTCAGAGGGGACATTTGAAGGTTGACATCCTTTTGACACTACTGAACTAGTGATTAGTGAAAGTAAACGAATACCAATATATGATGAGGAGATATGTAGTTCAAACACACAGTTAGGTGGAGAAGTGCAAAACAATTTGGTTAGTACACCAATTAACACTCAAAAGTTTCTGGGAATATTCGGGATGTAATTCTCAAACTCTACCTGTGTGGCCTTTGAAGTTCACCCTGTACTGGGAGTAGGAAACTGAGAAATTTCTGATACATGTTAAATCAAATGGAAGTTTTGTTGCTATACACACCAAGTACACCTTGCTTTCCTGTAGCTTGTTTGGAGGCTGAATTTGAAATGGTCCTACAACATATAGTGCATCTTGCATATTTTGTTAAGGATTTTCTCATGTTGATTTGATTCCCAAACTGGAAGTCTTTGCACCTAAAAGGGCGTACCCAGTGCAGAGAGCTCCCGCTCTGTGCGGGGTCTGGGGAAGGGTGTCAGTGGCAAGCCTTACCCTCGCCTGTGCAATGCGAGGAGACCGCGACTCGAACCCGGGACCTTCCGGTCACAGGCGGTAAGACTCTACCGCTTGCACCAGGCCCGCCCTTCAAGTCTTTGCACCTACTTCTGTTTTTAAATTGCACTATGCATCTCTGCTAGCATGGTGGATTTGTACTTGTTTAAATCATGTTCAGCTCACTGATGTTGAATAATTGTCTGTTTCCACATATTTTGATATTTCTGACCCAACAAAATGCTTACATGTTACCTGAATTTAGACAGGTGTAACATTGGAAAGTGATCCCTCAAAGGGGACTCTTGTTGATGTCGGATTAAGTAAGGTATTATGGATCTTCTAGTGTCCTTTTCTTTGTTCTGTGCCACTTTTCTGGGGAAAGGTGTTTACTGAGTTTGAAGATATGTTGAAAGACTGGGGAAAGCCTATTATATCTCACAATCTATGGGAGTATATAAATGGCCACAACCTTATGAAAATCTTAAATATGATTTTGCTTACGTTAGTTGACTTATTTTCTTTTTTCTCGAAAAATTGACTTATTTTCTGTAAATAAGGCTTTTTAAGGCGGACAATGAGGTTAGGAAAAACAAAATCTCAAGATTTGGCAGACCTTAATATATCATTTACAGATAAAAAACATTTCACAATGTGTATTATCTGATTTGCACTTAATGGTTTCATATATAGAACAGATCACCACTTCTATGCAAAAAATGTCGCATTGATTCTAGTTTACCATGATTCTGCAGAATGTTCTGGTTGAACAAACACTAGAACCAGGCAAAAGAGTAACTGTAGCCATGGGAACAAACCGTGACCTAACAACAGGTAAACCATTTATTTCATGGATTACAAAATATAATTGTGTTGATACTTCTTATCTATACCTTTTACATTTGGTAGTTCAACACTTCTATTATTAGAACAATTTTTCAAATGATATATATTCATCATCAGTTCATGATTTTGTTGGCTTGTTGCTTCCTCTTCAACTTTTGGTCTTTCTCATTTCAACTCATAAGTGTTGTTCTCAATGTATTCTTCTGCCGTGTTTTTTCTTGTCAAATCAATTTTGAAACCAAATTATGTTGCTTATTCTTGTGGAGTATCAGTATGTCTCTCTATGTCCTCATTCTAGAGCAGTATTAACTTTAACTATATACTGTTTTATTTTGCCATTTTACTGTAACTTAATTTGTACTTGCATCTAGCTTGCATAAGGAAAGTTGTTCCCCCCTCCACACCTAGGGAACAGATGGGATCTTATTGGGGCTACAAAGTTCGTTATACTTCAAATTTAAGTGGTGTTTTCAAAAATTCCCCATTCAAGGTACTGTTTTCACATCTCAATATGCTGTTCAGAAAAAAATGTGTTATGATTACTCACTTCCACCTTCCTTTGGTTTGTTATTTACTATCCCTAGGAAGAATATGACCATATCATTGGCACCTCGGAGCATGGACAAATAGTTAATTCTTCTGAGCTTACCTTGCCTACTTTTAGGTATGCCATCTGCTGTTCTCATGGAACACCTTGAGAAACCAATTTAGATTTGTTACCATTTTTTTTATTACTTGAATGTGTAAATTCCTCCGAATTTGCTTAGGATGCTTCAGCTTTATTTGAGTATGCTAAACTGTACGTTTCAACAATTAGTCAAATAGTTGTGGACATGTATTTTATGTGCTAACCTGTGCTAATAATTCTTGCTAAGCAGTAAGCAAGTAGCTGCTACCTTACCTTTGTGTTAAATTATCATGAGTGGATAAACACTTAACCAAGGAATGTGTACCTTCACTTAACTATTGAATTGATACGTTCTAGTTAAATTCTTTCTATAGTAACTATTGGCTAGTATTGTGCTATTGCCATATTCCAAGGCTGAGCGTTGTAACCATCTGTGTATGCTTTATGAATGACCCTTGCCATGTATATTAGCGACCATTGTGAGCCTATCCTGTCACTTATGAGGCTTTACTGAACAGGCACCTACTCATTGCATTCGGTGGACTTGCTGGTTTGGAAGAAAGCATTGAAGAAGATACAAATTTGAAGGTATAGCTGTTCTTTCTGTTATGATACTTCATATTTCTAGTGATCTCTTCCATGGAAATTAGGAGTTATGAAAGCATTTCTGGTCTATGGTCAAATTGAGAGTACTTGAAATGTCAACATTGCATGAGAACCTGAGCTAATTTGGTAGCTGAAACATTCAGCTTGTGTTTGCGGGGATTCTCCCACTTAATTAATGATGTAATGTTACTACCGCTGGTGTTGAAGTCACTTATTTCTGTGACAGGGTAAACGTGCAGATGATGTATTCACATCTTATTTGAATACATGCCCCAACCAAGGGAGCAGAACAATAAGAACAGAGGTACATACCTCTTGTAAGATTTTAAAAGTTCATTTGTTATGGCATCTGTTAATATGCTAACAGAAGTAGCAAAAAAAAATTATTCCAGGAGGCACTTCTCATTTCCCTCCAATACTTCCAAGATCCCATTAGGCGAGCGGAACCAAAAATGTAGAAGGTAACACAGACACATGCAAATCTAACCCACAAGTTGGACCCTGTTGGCTTCAGAGCTTCACTTGTAATCATGGAGTTTTCTCACTGAGAATTTAGACCCTTCACCTATGTGGTGATGACAGTGGAACCATGAGGTTGGAGGACATTTTGACACAACTATTTCGGTTTAGAAAAAAATTGATGTGGAGCTGACTTAAATGAAAGTGAGTGTTAGCTTGCCATTTCATGTATCCAGTGGTTGTCCACGGTAGTCTATCGCTCTTTCATGCCTTTGACAATGTACTGAAAACGGAGGATCGCTTTTAGCACCATAAGGCCATGCTTGACGCAATGCTATTCTTTGTTAGGCGACATTGTGCTTGATTTGGAGTCAATACTGCATAATGCGATTGATGATCACCTTTAGTAGCAGTGATGGTTCATGTTGTATTGGTGTCATGGTTTAGTTCTTCAGTTCCATAATGAAGTATGTGCACTAGAGAGTAGTGCTGCCCTTGTGATTGATGGGTGTGTATTTATGTGCCCTCGAGCCAAATCCCAGATGGATTTTGATCCACTAGGGTTTTAGGGTTACAATTGCCCATAAAAGGAGGCGGTTGAGTGTATTGGAGAACTGTTCGTATGCCGGCGTAGCCACCACCCCTGGTGATTCGTGTTTGTGTCGGAGTCGGACACAAATCACAATCAATTCCGCTTTCTTATAAGGCCCGATCCGGAGGGGCGAGTCCAGCCCACGTACGTCTCACGCCAGCCACCGCCGTCCTCAGTCCTCCCTCCCATCCGCCGAGACGCGTGACTCCGGCCGCCGCCATTTTCGCGTAGAGCGAGCGAGAGGACGCAGGCGGCACCGCCGTCCTCCCTCCCATCCGCCGAGACGCGTGACGCCGGCCGCCGCCATTTTCGCGTAGAGCGAGCGAGAGGACGAAGGCGACCGCAACCGCCGCCATTTCGCGTAGCGCGAGCGAGAGGACGCAGGCGACCGCACCCACCGCCAAGAAGATGCCTGGCTATGGCCGAGTCGCGGCGCGCGACGAACTCCGCTCGAAGACGATGGACTTGGCTCCGTCCGAGCTCTCCGCCCCTGATCCGCGCCAGGTGCTGAGGAAGAGGCTCGGCGAGGAGATGGAGGCGCTCCGCGGCATCCTCAGGAAGGCCGAGCTCGTGGTGCGCAAGAATATCGACAAGGGCCGCGCGGCACCTCGCCGCGGCAAGGACGGGCGTTTCTTGGCCGCAGAAGCCCGATCAGAAGCCATGGAGGCCGACCGTACTCCATGTGCCAAGAGAAGAAAGGTGATGCCACCCCTGGAAATCATCGAGCCTCCGCCCCGGATATCGAAGTCCGATCAGGCTGCATGTGCCAAGAAAAGGAGGACGACGCCACCCGTGGAGATAATCGAGCCCCGGATATCTCAGGACGAGATCTTCAGCTTGGTTACCCGAGTGTCGTCGCTCTCGTCGAACATGCCGACGCGCATCCTCGAGTTCCTGAACAAGGAGTGCACCGGTCGTACAAACGAAAAGGCTGGGGAGATAGAGATCGATCTGGGATCCATGACGCGCTCCGCCATGTTCGAGCTGCAGAAGTTGCTGGACGAGTTTGCTGAAGAAGAGAAGCGTCGGCAGCAGAAAGAGGAGTCGATGAACGTCTGCAGATCCATTAATCGCTCATCTTCCCGTGAACTAGAGGAAGGTGAGTTCATCGAAGAGGATTGTAGTGCCACCACGGATTGCGGCGATGCTTCTCCTGTTGTGGCACGTAAGGGCCTTTCTTCACCGCCACGAATACTTGAAGACGGAAAGATGACAGAGGAAGAGGGCGCCATATGCGGCGACACTGGCCCTGTTGCAACCACTGAGACCGCAAAAAGCCCAAGCAACAGCAGTTCGTCTGGATCCTCCAGCAGCAGTGATGGTTCATCTGGATCTTCTTGCAGCGATTCATCAAATTCCGACAACAACGACTTAGACTCTGACAATGAATGCATGACAAGCAATGTGGCTCCTGCCGTTCTTCCCATTCCCAAGGCCGACGCCTCTGCCATAGCAATGCCAACCAAGGGCCTTTGCTCACCGCCACGAATCCTCGAAGACGGAGAGATGACAGAGGAGGAGGAGGTCGACATATGCGGCGACACAGGCCCTGTTGCAACCGAGAAGTTTGTTGAAACAGCAAAAAGCCCCAGCAGCAACCGCAGCTCTAGCAGTTCGTCTGGATCCTCCACCAGCGGCGGCAGTTCATCTGGATCTTCATGCAGCGATTCATCAGATTCCGACAGCAGCGACTCTGGCTCCGACGACGAGTGTGTGACAAGCAATCTGGCTCCTGAAGTTCTTCCCAAGACCGACGCCTCTCCCATGGCAATGCCACACAAGGTTCTCAGTCCTATCGCTGAAGAGGAGTTTGCTGAAACCGAGAACAGCCGAAGAAGCAACAGTTCATTACTTGAAGATGGCGAGATAGAAGAAGAGCACGGCACCTCCCCTGTGGCTGCAGAGAAGTTTGCTGAAACCGTCAACAGTACAGGATCTGCCAATGGCCAATGCGTCAGAAGCAGCCTGGCTCCTGCCGTCCATCCCGAGCCATCGAAGCCGCAACCAGCTGCACAAGGCACTGTTCGTCATTTCTATGCCAAGGGTTATGAGAAGAAGCGCGAGAGGCCGGCTGTGGCTGCACAAGGCACCGTTGGTCATTTCTATGCCAAAGCTTTTGAGAAGAAGCGCGAGAGGCAGAGAGCCTACAAAAAGCTAGAAGAGATGGAGAGGAACGCGAAGGCGAAGCCCATCTTCGACTGGATACACCCGAGACACTTGAGGCAGCTAGGGATCACTACCCCGGTGGAGTACGCTGTCACCTCGGAGCGGCGTTTTCCTGCTCGTCGTGGCTGCCCGGTGCAGAGTCTACTTGGGCTCTTCTTGAAAGCAGAGTACCAGACCACGGAGATGGCGAAGGAGCCACTAGATACTCAGGACCTATTGGAAACTTATTACAGTAGATTAATGTATTAGTGTTTATGTAATCCGGCTGTACTTACTGTCGCACAGTATGATGTACTCGCAGTGCCGGTCCTAAAATTTTAAAGGCGCTCTGAGGATCTTGTCGCAACGGCCTCTTAACCATGTATAAAATCTTATAATATATAGATGCTAATTTTACTTGGAAAACGAAAGCAAATTCAATAACATATTTTTAATTTAACATGTCTAATAATTATCGAGGAACAATATAGATTAAGCAATATATTTGTAGATGTATGATAATTATCGAGGAACAATGTAGATTAAAAAAACAATATATTCGTTTTCTTTTCTCACCCATGACAAATGTTTCTAGGATAACATTCTAAAATTCTAACACCTAAATTTGAAGAAAAATATGATTATATGGGTACAAAGTACTAGAAGTCTGAAATACTATACAAATAATTAATTTTGATTAAAAATAAAAAGGAAAAAATATCTTGGGCCTAAACAACTGATTGGTGATCGCAATTCGTAAGAAGTCAAGAATCAAGATGTCATCGTCGTTGAGCCCTGCCTGGTCGCCGTCCTCGTGCGCCGTGTCCGTGTCTCCGGTAGTCTAGCTCTTCGCGGTGGCGCGGCTCGCCAGCTCCGCGTGTGTAAGGCGTAGGCCGCGAACTCACGATCTGAGTGTGCTGTGTGCAGCGTGACTCCTCGTCTCCTCTCTACCCGAGGGCCGTGGGGAAAGGAAAGGAAAGAAATATCGATGTTGCCTTTTTGGGTCGCCTGGCCATTTCTATGTCTCTCTTCTCATTAGTTTACTAATGTCTAATGGACTATAGGACCTGAGGATTTGTATACCTGGGCTTGGGCTCCTCCTTCGCTTGGGCCCTCGGCCGTCGCACCTCGTGCCCTTCCCCTAGGGCCTGTACTCGTGAGGTTGTAATCTCTATGCTGTTGAGTGTTGAGCCCTACCAAAGCTTATCGAGCATGATCAGTCTAGTGAACCTAATGTGTATGTCTACCTTGAAAAAAGGGCGTACCCAGTGTAAAGAGCTCCCGCTCTGTGCGGGGTCTGGGGAAGGATGTCAGTGGCAAGCCTTACCCTCATCTGTGCAATGCGAGGAGACCGCGACTCGAACCCGGGACCTTCTGGTCACAGGCGGTAAGACTCTACCGCTTGCACTAGGCCCGCCCTTCATATGTCTACCTTGAAACCAGTTAATATTGCGCCATTGTGTTATATGCTGAGAAAGCTGTGTATGGCAACCTATGTTTGCAGCCTAAGCATCAAAATATTCATATATTCTGGTGTGTGTGTGGTGGTGAGGGGGGGGGGGGGGGGTCCAATTCTATACATTTTCTCATGAGTAAATAGAAGCAACAGCGCAAGTCATGATAAACTTACACAAACACAATGAAACATGCTGAAGCTAGGGGTTTTTTTTTTTTGGTTAGTTACTTACGGAGTATACAGCAAATCTCTTTTGCAAACTCACGAATATAAGCATCTTATATTTATTTCATCAAGTTTTCATACAAAGACTATTTAGTTTGATAGCCAAAATTTCGTTTCTGTGATCTGAAAACACATTGCTTTTGTCCATTGCTGGAGCTATTGGTATGCCCAAATATTATGACTGGGTAACAGGCGCTACGCTGTTTTTATGAACAAAAGCATTTCTTAACCACGAAAAGGTTGTTTCCTTATTGCGTCCAACTTCAAAGCCATCTCTTGTGCCAAACTTATTCTCCCTCCTTCAACAAGAGCTTCCTTCAAATTACTGAAAAGCTGACCAGGTGGCCTAATTCCTTTGTCCAGCATCTCCTGGAAATATACACAAGCTTCTTCGAGCCTGTTCTCAAAGCATAACCCATTGATCAATGCCGAAAACATATGCATACATGGGAGGACACCTCTCTCCCCCATTTGCTTCCACACCTTCAATGCCATATCAACTCTTCCGTTACTACAGAACATGCCAACCACCATTGTATATGTATTGAGCTGAGGCTCACAGCCGTCCATTCCCATTCTCTGGAATATATTATAAGCCTCCTCAAATTTCTGTGATTTTATCAGATAATGAAGAATTACATCATAAGTACGGGAATTTGGGCCAATTTTACACTTCCTCATCTCCTCAACCATCTTGAAAGCATGCTGAAACTTTGAGGCTCTGCAGTAAGCTCCAACAACCGCATTGCACGTAGGCACCTCCATGGGGAACCCACTTTTCTTATAATGCTCAAAGTACTTCAAAGCTTCATCAAGCCTCTCCTCTGAGCCAAGGCCATTGATAAGCATGCAGTAAACATGAGGACTTGGCATGCAACCACTTGCTTCCATCTCGTAGAACACCTTGATGGCCTCATCACATTTGCCAGACTTGCAGAAGGCGCTAATCAGCATCCCGTAGGCAACAACATCAGGCCTAATGCCAGCATCAATCATTTCTAGGTACATTGTTTTCACCATCAACAGATCTTTCTCATGGCCCCATCCTTCCATGAGGACAGTGTAGGTTTTCAAATCAGGTACAAACTTACCCTTCCTCTTCATCTCCTTATAGATGGCTTGTGCCTTCTTCACTTGTTTGGATTTGCTTAGCGTGTCAATCAGCCAGTTGTAATCCGACAACTCAGTTTTAAGCCCAAAAACGCTCATCTTCTCGAATGTCTCAACAGCATCTTTGACCTTTCTAGCCCGAGCATACCTTCGAACGATGAGCTTGAATGTGTCCTTAGACAGCAAGCCCCGGCACCGCATGGTCTCCACCAAGCTCCACACCAGCCTGAACTGCTTGATCTTGCCAAGTGCCTCAATCAGGTTGTGGAAGCCCTCAGCCGTGTAACTGAAGCCCTCCTGCCTCTCTGCCCAGCGGAAGAAGGCAAGTGCTAGCATCCCAGCATTGCTCAAGTTCTTGAGCACTTCAGCTACCAGCTCTGGAGACATGGCCACCCCAAGCGCATCAAGCGTCGACGCAATCCTTGGTTCTGGTTGCGTGGACACAATACGACACACCATCTTAGCAGCCTCTGACATGCCCACAGGCGGGCCATCCCCAATGGCGTCACTTGGTGCGACTGTGAATCGCAGTGGCACTGCACTGGCGTGCTCATCCGTGGACTGCCGAGCCACAGTACAAAACCCTGAAGTGTGCGTTCGACTGAGCACCTGGCAGGCATGGCCAAACAGTGTGTGGCATGGCAGTTTTGGTGGAGCAGGAGGCGGAGGCATTTCGTCGAACAGTCCTTCTACATCCGTGGCGAGCGCGCAGGGGCCACTCCTCACGGAGCTACCGAGCAGGGTGGAGGCTGGGCGGGCGAGGCGATGCATCAAATCGTGGTTCTGAGAGGAGGGTTTGAGGGACAAATGATTTTGTAGTGACGGTGAGCGGTGGGAGGGCAATCAGGACGCGAGGGCGTGGCAGCACCGGCACTAGTGCTAGATGCCTAGATGCGAAAGTTCTTTGTCCTTCTACTATCCAAATAACTGCACAAACAAAATGAGTAACATGTCAGTTCACTAATTATAAGCACAAAGTGCAGAGTAACATGTCGATTACCAAAGTGTGCAACTCTAAATTATTGTAAACTTGTGGTTCAAACAGTAGTCTGCAAGACTGCAAATGATTAATTTCATAGTATTCTTGTGGTCTTATTTTACAAACTGTGACCAGTACCTAGTGAACTGCTTCCAAGCCCTCATGTGCCATATATGGCTGCCGGTGCTAGGGATTTACCTGTGATTCGACCAACCACATGCAACACCTTAGCACGTGGAAGTATTAAATAGAGCATTATATATCCAAAAAATCATCAGTAGGATCCTATATTTTTAGAGTATTGCTTATTTCACCCATGCATAGTTATTTTCATCTAAAACATTTCAAACAGGTAGCAATACTAACCAATTTTCTTCCAAGCTCATGTAACACATCCTTGTTAAACTTCAATGTGTACCCATAGCTTAGTTGTTATCTTGGAGCTCCACTTTTGGGAAACAGAACCTAGTTTGAACCTGAAAACTCATCAGAAGAAGCAAGGTGATCAGGGAAGTAAACTGAAAGGAATTAGAAATACATTTCCACCAAGTGTGTCATTAGCTACACACAAATTTCCATTCAGATTGTAGTTCACAAAGAAGATGATAAGAGGCAACGAATATGTTTGATAGCTGAAAGTGAAGATTCCCATTTTCTATTGTTCACAAATCAGCATCTAAGTTGAACCATTTGTGTCTAGGATGGCTAGCGGCCATTCAGTTACCATAATTCTTTCTACAAAAAGCATGCAAAGTACTTCTGATGCTGTGGAGAAAACACATATAAATATATCTTGTACCAACAAAGATCAAACATAGGAAAAAAAGATAAACATCTTAAGAGGAGAAAGAAATATATCCCCTCTTATTTTGAAAATAAGCATGATTTGACAAGGTAGATCAGAGTGTCCACTTAAGAATGTTTATATCCCCCTCTTAGTTAGGCGTGCACAACCTCTGTTAGGTTCCTGGGCATGTCTGATTATACAAAAACACATGTGAGATGGAAACTTTTCTAATCAATTCACCCACTGAAAATAGATATCATTCATCCACTAATTATGTGCAGGAAACAAAAATTCTATCCATTGTATGGAAAGCCTGCAACTTACAGTAGGACAAAGGGTATCAAGCAATAAAGCCCCAAAAAAGTCAACATTTGCAACCTCATCAAATGCTTAGCTGTTAGATAGAATACTGGTTGGTTACTTACGATCTAGAAGACCCCTTTTGTTAATAACTTCTTTATGGACCGGAAGACGCAAGCAGAAGCACTGAGATGGATGAAGCTAAGACTTGGATGGAGATTCAGTTTGTATTTTGTGAAACTTTCTTCGATAGAACGGCGATTAGACTGGCTATGTTGTATGGAGCAGAATGTTGGCCTACAAAGATTCGACATGTTCAACAACTGAGTGTTGCAGAAATGTGTATGTTGCGATGGATTTGCGGTCACACAAGAATGGACCGAGTTCGGAACGATGATATACGTGATCACCTA